ACTTTGATGGTCCCATTGACGATGTTGATGAAAATTCTGGTGGACTCAGATGCTGATTGTCATCCAGTGAATCCCTTTAGAACACATAAGACTAATATTTCAATCACATTTCATAAAATTATGCCCAATAATTACGTGAATGCAGTCTTCGGAGTTTAACTATAGAATTATAAAAGAATAATAATGCTTCATGTAACTGATGAAAAATGCTATTTAGTTTATAATTTATCATAACATAAACAATTATTTTATAGAAGCAGTTTCCAAAATAATATCTAATGAATTTTATAGTCAACGATTTTTTTCTAATCTAGTAGACTTTTAAAACAGAATAAAAGGGTGGATCTTAAAAGAATAATAAGTGAGGTTATGTAGTCAAATCGTATGACTTAGGACATAACCTAATGGGGTGTGTTTGTAAAAAAATAATTAAATCTGTATAACAGAGTTCTTCCTTCCCGCATTTTGTAATTACAGACCCCGCTGATACATTTATTTAAAGATACACAGATTAGATTAAAAACTACTTGTACTTTCTTTAAACAAAGAAATATTGGACAGCACGTAAAAAGGTGTTATACTACGTGAGTAAATACAAGATTTAAATTTTTCCCTTAGTTTCTTGAAACCACTGCTTATTCTACATATGGACCAAGAATAAATAGGCCTAATGAGAACTCCTGAACCAGATGCCTGCACTATACTTAGAGACTTGTCTTATCCTGTCTCGGACTTACGGCATATTTTAGGCGAGTGATACAATGTCATGGCTTCTGTTATTATATTAGATCATACGTACATGGTTCTTGACGCTTCTCTAAAACCCTTGGCAAATGGGTTACTGGCAATTTTCAGGCGAGTTATCTGTAACAAATAATATTCAATTCAATTCAATTAATTTCAATTCAATTAATTTATTTACGTGTTTGCCAACAGCAAGAAGCCTATAACAGGCAAACACTGATAATACATACAATAATATTGAAATAATAATGGATAATATTACACAAACGGATTAACTAAACTTATACATGTACAGTATTAAATATAACTGCCAAGTACAGGCAAACCCAAAATAGAAACAATATTAACACAAAGCAAAACAAATGAAGAAATATAAATAAAAACAAATAATCCACCTAGGGAACATTAATATAATTGTAAAACTTTAAAAAATATAAAAAGACAGATAACGAAGCTAGATCATTTCCCTTGTTGAGAACGTTCGCTCAAGGGAGACAAAGTTTATGCGAAATACGTCCAAAGATTTACATACGTCATTTGCAGTGATGACGCACCTCGCTGAAGGACTATGCCTTAGTGCACTGCTCACACTAAAAGTAGAAAATTATGTTATATGCCTCGCCTGCACACGTAAACCAACAGCGTCCATAATGGAATTACAATTTATTTTACCCTTAAAGACATTAATAAGAAATAACGCATCGAGATGTCGTCGTCTGGAATAAAGTGTTCTAAAATTTAAAGTAGATAGGATCAGTTCATATTTTCGGGGGATATTAAACTGGAAAAATCGGTAATTGCATAAACTGGCAAATTTTCTTTGAATATTTTCTAATTTATTAGAATCTGTCTGTGTAAGATTATTCCAAACGACCGAGGCATACTCAAGCTTTGAC